CTCGCTCTTCTTCCTCCCATCCGTAGCAGGCTGTTGTGCTCCTAGCTTGGCCTCTAAATCTAAGGCCTTCTTGCTAGAGGAGTCGGGATTATGATACTCGAAGCTAGCTTCACTAACCATTAAGTTCTTGATATTTGTGCGAAGACATCGAAGATACATGTTCAGTAAGACTTGTGGATCATAGCGGACACCCGGGACAACTACGAGTTTCTCCACGGCGACGGTGAGCTCACGCTGACTTGTACCTTTTGGTATAAAATTGGGCCAACGCATCAGTGGTTTGTTGGGCCTGCTGGGGGTTGCGTCATCGCGTTTCAACCAATGCCATGAAACTCTCTAGTGTGTGGGTCTTTGCCCAATCATTCATTTGCGGGCCGAACCCCTCGAATGCCACTATTCCATCTAGCCATCTCGCTGCCAATTCCTCAAGAGCAGTGATCACCTCTTCTTCCAACAGCGTCCTCTTCGCCCTAGCCCACATTGGAACCATCCTCGACCATGTGTTCAGTGCCTCGTCCTTCTTATCTCCTGAGAAAGACGGGGGTGGTTTCAATGGGGTCTTGGGATACCAAGGCTGTTGTAGTCCCATTTCTGGAACTGGCTGCTCTCCTGTAGCAGCAGCAGTTGGACCTGAAGATGAAGCAGCGGCAGTCTGTGCTGCTGTTGTTGATGTGCGTACCAAATTGAGTGGCAAATGGGCCTGTCATCACCGGAGTTACTACTTGCGATGGAAATGTTGCCTGCGGCCAGACACTGGGCGCACACCAGCTAAGGAGGGATGTGGTCCTCCTCTTGTCTGCATGGCATTCAGTTTCTGATCAAGGGTATCATGGATTGCATCCAGTTTGCTGTCCATGTAAGCGTACATGCTCAGCATACGCGCCTTGAGGATTTTACTTGTGTCGTCTAGGGTCAAGTCGTCTAACGCTTTTATTGCAGCCTTATCCACCCTTGTGCTCTCTAATCTGGCTTCCTATTTCTAATTTCAGAGTCTCTTTTGGTAGCTTCCCTAAGTTCCTTCTCTAACCGTAAGTGGATTAACTCCACTTGCTGGAGTTCTATGGCCTCTCTAGTGCGTGGAGGTGGTGAGCTGTACTGCGAGCCCGCCATCTGGCTTGTGGAAGGTCCTGCACTCATCCCACTAGATGTGGTGGAGGAACTAGATAAAAGTTCTTGACGTCTGCTCACCTTGAGAGGTCGCTGCAGATGTAGCCGTCGCTACAGCACTAGCTGCTGCTGCCGCTAACACTCGTTCCGCAGCTGTTGCTGCCTCCCTGGCAGTCTGCAAATGGCGCACCCTTGCTCCGGCCTGGAACCTTCTCTCGTCCCCTGGTAGCAGAACCTGAAACACTACCAGAATCCTTCGTGTATCCCACCATGTTTCCCTCCTATCGTCAGCTGTCCCTTCACCACTACCTGTTCCACTCATCAGCTAAGCAGATCACTGTATGCACCAGTGCCCTACCACAGCATGTGTTTGACCGAGCTGAAAAATAATAAAAAATAAATAAATATTCCGCAAGTCACTCGGGCTACCGATCAATTGGTGTCAACAGTTTATATACAGACCGAGCAATTGATATATTCCTACTCTGATTAGTTCTCCTACAGCAGCATCACACACAACTGGCAAAGGAGACTCTAAAACTCTAAACTAATGTTGTCTGTCAGGTGTTAGCAGTCTGTCACACCTCAACTCATCAAACTAAAAGTAGATCAAGTGCATAGATGCATGCGGCAATGGAAATAATTGTGTTTGTGTACGAGCACCAATTGGAACCTTTCCTTCCCCTGTATCCAACGAGCCTCACTTGAATTTTCAAGCAGCAGCGTCTGCCGTGTGCACAACGCCCCACCCCTGCGCCCAGGAACCCTCTTATGATTAGCACTGCCCATTATTTATCCTCGCGTGCAACGAGCCTTACATCCAACTGATCTGGCTGATCAAGAGGCAGTTTAAGGGCAGCCCCCAAGGTCCAATGTCGCAGACAGGACGACGATCGCAACCAGTGTTCAGATCCCACGAGAAATAATTTACAGACGGTCTGTAGACGTCATGCAACTGGTCAGTCCACGTTCCCTCTAAAGTCCAGCAAGAGCTTAAAGGACAAAGCAGCAAAGCATGCGTGCGCTTCTTCCATGGGGTTGGCATGGTGACCGTAACCCGTGCTTCCAACAGGGCCCTTCAGAGGCACCGCCCTCTCCTTCCAGATGCACCGCCAGGAAGAATGTCAACTCTCAAGGTATAGAGCGCTCACGACTCCTGAACCAGAAGAGGACACTCAAGTTGGACTCACTTCCTCGCGGTAAGAAGAGATTGAGATGGAGATAGCTGCCCCCAACCACAGATCTCACCAATTGAGCCAATGTGCATTTCGATGACCAGTCATAGCCTCGGTACCACCCACAATGCAATGTAGTGCCACCTCAGCCAAAATGCATGTAAGCATTCTGTCATCATCCCACACACACCGGCTGCCGCCACAACTCCCACGTTGTGCCACAGCCTTCCTGCCAGCCTCCCCTCTACCCGGGAGTGGCAAACTATGCCAGCGCCAATGTATCCTCACTGCGTAGAAGCTCCGTCAGCACACCAAGTAACAATGTCGCCCGCACCGGTAACGGCGATTTCGAACCAGCTCCGATACCAAATTACAAGGAATATGAGCGAGAGCGATAGACAGAAATCCAAGTTGCAAAATCACGAAGTAGCTCAGATAGTCGTGTACCAAGCAGAGAGTGCAATGCACCAAAATACCGTCCAAAAGAGCAATACAATGAACTCGAATGTCAATGTCGCCACTCCCTGGTCACACCAACACTGTATCCAATGTCGCACTTACTGTCTGGCGCCCAGCACCCAGCCTATCCTACTCGGCCTATCTAACCTATCTACGTTCTCGCAATTGGATCACTTTGAATCGAAGACCAATGTACGTGAAGTCAAAACCAATGCCGATCACCAGCATAGACCAGGTACGTTCTCTCTCCTCTATTCATCACCCCTCGCCTCCCCACAGCATGAGCCTCCTACCCAAAGACCACCTTCGCCATCACCTGCCTTGCGACCCTGCAACCCAGCTATGGCTGCTGTGCGCCCGCTGCCCTTGCAGCTCCCCTCACCTCAGCGCCCGTGCGCGCGTCCCACCAGCAGCACCCATGCAGACACTTGCGCAGCAACGCAGCAGCGTGTCCGCATTGCCTGCCTTGGCCAAAATGCCCCTGCCTGGGCTGGCCTCTTTCCTTTATGGAAAGTGCAGCCCCTGTCTGTGTCTGCCTGGGCCTGGCTGGGGAAGTTTCCAGTGGCTTCCAGTCAGGCCCCAGTCTCTGCCCAGACCCACTTCTACAGTTACGGGCCAGGGCCCTTTTCGGTTGGGCACGTATAAGTAGCCTCCCAGGCTCCAAGGGTTGGCCACATTCTCATCGACTCGCGGAGATTGTGTGACGACAATGCTGCTTTCTCATTCGTCCGTGGCCGCTCCGTGATGTGTCCGCCTCACGCTTCATGTGTCCAGGGCCCAGCCACCCGGCCCTGGGCTCTGTACAGCAAAGTCCTTGTTTTCTGGAAAGAGCCTGGAGGCTCACGTTTCCCTGCAACCAACAGGCGTGCTGCAACTGTCTGTGTACCCACATATGGAAAATGTCAAAAATCGGCCTCTTGTGGATATTCAGGCCCGCCTTCACTTAGGGCAGGCACAAGGCTTCCTGGGGCTCACAGCCGAGAACACTTGCACGTCTGTTAGGCCTGCGTGAGGGCTCAGTCCTCGCATATATAGAGTGACATATCTATGAACCAAAAGAGCGCACTTTGCGGAACAAACGGTGAAGACGAAAACAAAACAAAAAAACAAGACAAACATGAAGGGCTCACTCATGTTCTCATTCTTCTTCGAACGACCCCTTCACCGTGCCTCTCATGTACAAGGCTCGCCACATTGGTGAAGTTGAGCGGGAGCTGCCCGCATCCCGTGTGCCACATTGGCCCACTTGTACGGTGTGAGAAAGAGGCAGAGAAAAGGGGGAGGGGATAAAAACAGGGAAGAGAGACGGACAGAAGACAAACACAGAATGTCAAAGGGAAACTCAGGGAAAGTACCGAGTGTGGAATGAAGATGAACGCAAAGGAGAGGATAAGAAAAGCTCAGGAATGAGTCTGTCCTTGATGACAGAGATGGAACATGCACTGTAAGGATGAGGTGAATGAACACATGGAAGACCTAGCTGAGCATTCTCAGTACAATAATTGCCATGACGGCTGGCATTGAGCATGCCCACCATACACCCCCGACAAATGGCATGTCGACTGCAGGCCAAAATTAAGAAAGAAATATAATCCTTCATCATCATCTCAATTCCGGTCTTCTGAGACTTCATCAACAGTTTTCCAAGGATTCATCACGATCACATGCACGTTCTCCCTCTTTTGGAAACTTGACAAATCGACGGAGCAATTGACTCAAAGAGTGCAGTTATAGCTATACCTGCTCACCGCAGCTCAGACGTGGCTGCATACCTCCTCCACACGGAGAGAATTGCAGCGGAAGAGCAATACCTTGCTTGCCTCCCTTCATACAAATTGAAGAACGCAATTAGCTATAGCTCCTGCTTGCAAGTGGCTGAGTACACAGTTTCCCACCCCTGCAACAGGAGACTGCAGCTGAAGAACAATGCTTTGCCCGTCTCCCTTATTTGAGAATTCCACACAAATCAACAGGAGAAGCAACTCGGAGAATGCAGTCAGCTTAGCTGCTCACAAGTGCCTAAGTGCATTTTCTCACCTCTGCAAACAGAGGATTGCAGCTGACAAGCACTACGCTTGTTCATCGCAAGCATTTCTTTCCTGTGTTCTCCTCTTCTGAGACTGAAAAACAGACACGAAGAAGAAGAAAAACATCCTTCTGGTCATCTTCCCCCTCCTGATGATCGCAGCGGATCCCTACATGTATACTGAGTCTCTCCTTTCCATAATGCTACTCTCACCATTTGTGTCCCCCCATGTTCTCCTCTTGGCGGATTCATTTCATCACTGAGCTAGCCTTCCATTGCTCTTCCTCTCCCAAGTAGTCAAACTTCTCTCTCCATCATTAAGTGGGCCCCACTCCACTAAACAACATACCAAAGGTGTCTGGATCTAACCCCCCTGTCCCGATACGTTCAAAACGTTGCACCAGTCCGAATGTGATTTGGATAAGATGCATGCTCAGCCTTCCAGTGCGCTCCCTCTCCTAAGTAGTCGATCTTCTCTCTTCTGAGAGTTGGCTGCGCTCCACTAAAGAACATTCTAAATCTGCGTGGATCCAATGCTTGTCCCAACAAGTTCAAAATGTTGGACCAGTGCGAATGTATTTCGATCAGACACATGTTTAGAATCTTCGATACATTAGGAATGTTGTGCAGTGGAGCCAGACCTATAATATTTGTTGTCAGATATGTTTACAACACAAAATGTTCCCCTTCATTCTTTGTACAAGGTTACAAGCCTAGTCCTGGTGTTTACCTCTTTTTTTCGCCCGGTGTTTACCTCCTTTGGAAAGGACTGCTGGATCACTTGCTTTCCCCACATTCTCCTCTTCTGCGGTACTTCCTGTCGCCCTCGATCGACGACCTATCCCTCCTGAGCAGGTACTGCCGTCTGGGATTTCATCACCAACCTTTCCGCCACATTCTTCTGCTTCAGAAAAGCAACTCGTCACCAATCTTTCCATGAGACAACCGAGTCCAGCAGCACCGTCAGCTGCCCTTTGCGGGGTACGAATGCGTCGAAGTATGCCTTGATTCCTCCACACCCTTTCTCTGCAATAACGTCGTGAATTCGTGAGTAGTGTTCATTGGATGGAGGGATAGTGCAGTGGAAAGAACGGTCTTTATTGTAACAGAGCATCGGAAAGGCGGAGACGTCATCAGTGTCGTGTGACCAGACAGCAGTCTGAATTTTCACTTTGAAATTTCCTCCAGGTGCATTCTCTGTTGAGCGTGTGTTGATACCAATGGGACCTCTTCCCTTGAGGAATGACGCTAAGTGGAAAGACAAGAACTGCTCCTTGTCGCTATCCGACGTTACATCCACCGTAACAGATGTCTCCTTGTCTTTCACTTTCTCTGATTCTCCAGGCCTCTTCATCTTCGGCGGACATTGTCGTTTGTGGACACTCCAATGCGCTTTCTGGCAAGCCTGATTGCAATAGAACGTGGTCTTGCAGCGGGAACATTTGAGCACTGCCCCCTTCTTCTTGCAGTATGAACACTGTTCTTTACGAACAGTAGCGCTGCCAGACTTCTCTCCATTCGCCGGGACTGAAGCATTCCTCCCATTTCCCCCACTGCCTCCGTTCTCTGCCGCAGGCCTGCTCTTCACATCCCTTCTGCCCCAGCCCAGCTCTCTTGCTTTTGCCACCAACTCGGTCTTTTCCAAGCAATCATCAATGTTCACACCCGCCGCCTCTAAATGGCGCAAAAGCTTCTGGATGGTCCACAAACTGTAGTCATCCTCTGGCTCTGCATCCACATCTCGTCCTCCTCTCCTTTTGCACTCCACAATACCACTCCCATTGCCATCGACATTGCTACAACCCTCTCTTTCTGTAGTTGATGAAGCGGCTGGGGAGTTATCCGCATCGCAATCTTTCCCGCACTGCGTCAGACCCGACACATCACCACCACTTATCCCAGATCGCTCCTCGGCATCTACAGTATTTGAGCAACTCTCCGTGGCATTCTCAACCGGGACACTGCCGCCCGCTCGCACATTCGGGTTTGCTGTGGATTGAGACCCCTTCCCTGCCATATTCTTGCCCGCGCCATCTCGCTGTCGCGAACGACTGCGACGTCCAGTTTTTGCACATGCAAGGATCTTCTGCAACTTGTATGTTGGACATCCAGGCTGGTTGCACATATCAACTGCCGTGAGGCCGACAGCGTTCTTGATAGACGGGTCAGCTCCAATGTCGACAAGGAAACGACAACATTCAACGTGTGAATAGAACACTGCATCAGCGATCGGCACGACCCCCATTCTGTCCTTGGCATCCACGTCCGCACCATTGTCAACAAGCATCCGCGCAATCTCTAACTGCGGACAACGTCCGGTTGCATAATGCAAGGGCGTCTGCCCACACCAATCGCGGGCATTCACTCGTGCACCTTTCGATATCAAATACTCTGCCAGCTTTATGTACTGAATGGGCCCCTCAGGAGGAGAGGGACCCAAACCGAGCTCGACCATGAACTTCCCTAAGAGAACCAAATGCAACACACTAAGCCGATTTGAAGGCTCTCGCTTGTCCAGCCACTTCTCAACAGTTGCACCAGTCCCTTTTCCGCTGCAATTCTCTGCAAGGTCCATCAGCTGTTTCACATGCTCTACTCTACCACAGAAGACGCTACAGTGGAGGACGTCTTGCAATATCCATGGACTGAATTGAATGAGCCGTTCTCCTGCCTCAGCCCTCATCTTCGTTGATGCCCATCCTGCGACCGGTGACTGGTCCCCGTCTCCATACAGCATGTCCTTGTCTTGCTGAGTGCCCGCCATTGTATAACTACGATAGGTCAAAAGGAAGGGACAACTCCTTATGCTCCCACTTGCTTAGGAATTCAGGCCTGCAGCCGCACTTGTGGAGGCCAACCAGCATAACGCCCACACAACACTCCTTACGCCTTGACCATCACAGACACAGAATCTGAGACACGTCAACAGAAAAGACCCATCATCTTTCAATAAGATCACTGAAACATAAAAAAAATATATACCTACAATACCAGTTGCCTGGGGAAGCAAAACAAGTACAGCAGAGCACATTACGACCATTGTCTTGCCTCGGATAGAATGTATGATCATTACAGCTGTATTTGGAGCAACTTTCAGTCCAGTATAGCGATAATGACCATATGTTCCACTCGGGCGGAAATGGTAGGTGGGTAAGTGCATCCTAAATCCTAAACCCTTGATGCCCCTGAAGTAGCCAAAGTTATCACGAGTCCCTAAGTTGTGATGGGCCCCAAGTCAAGCAGTTAGTCCAGGCCCTGATCAATGAGTAATTGTTGATGTTGAACTTCTTTCTTATAAAGGAGGTAGCCCACAGGGTTCAAACATGCTCTGTGTGTATCACCAGCTATATGCGCCTACCATTCAGCGACCAGAGCCCGTCACTGATGTTGAGCTTGCCTGAACAAGCAACACCATTCCCAGGAGATGACCATAAGCAGGCACACTGGCACAATGTCAGGCCCCGGGACAGGGTAGTCTGAGCAAGCTTTAGGACTGGCATAAAGATAATAGCATAGAGACCTAGGTCACTCCATATCCACCTCCAACAGGTAGGACTATTTGCCACCACATCCCCATACCCATGGGGTTTCCTCCTCTTTCTCCTCAGCTTCCTCATTCTCCCTCTGATCTTCCCTCCCCCTCCCTATGCTCCTCAGCATCTTCTTCCTCTCTCAGCATCTTCCTCCATCTCATTAAGCTGCCCCCCGTCTTCCTCCACCTCGTTATGCTGCTCCCCATCTTCCTCCACCTCGTTATGCTGCCCCCCGTCTTCCTCCACTTCCGCCCTCTCCTTCTCCTACTCTCCCTATCATCATCATCAATATCATCATCATCAATATCATCATCATCATCTTCATGATTGCAATTTCTCCTTATCTGCCTTTCCTCCCTTGACCTCAACTTCTCCATCCTGATTGTAGTCCTCGTCCAATCTTGCTACACCACTGCCTCATGGAACTCCCTCTCACTCTCCCCCAATGCCCAACACTGCCACTTCTCCTCCTCACTCTCCTCGTCCACCTCGCCGCCCTCCTCTTCATTGGCTTTGTGCCCTTCTCGCCCTTGACTGTTTGTCCTCGTTTTAATCTCCTTATTCTTTCCCCTTCTTCTCCTTGGTCTCCTCTTCATCAATGCCATTCTCCCCCTCCATTCCCACAGTTCAAAATGATCCGTCCAATCCAGATCAAGATCGACATCACAGCAGCAAAATCCACATGATATACGCACACACAGAACTTAAATACAACTTCAAATGATATACACAGGTTTCTCACGATCATGGCTATGGCCGCCAGCATAATAACAAGCAGGGAACTCTCTCTCTCTCTCTCTCTCTCTCTCTCTCTCTCTCTCTCTCTCTCTCTCTCTCTCTCTCTCTCTCTCTCTCTCTCTCTCACA